GCTCTGTGCTAAATGCTTGCTCAGGGCCTGGAACCTACCTCAGATTCTGTGTCTCCTTCTCTCTCTGCCTCTCCTCCAATTGTACTCTGTTTCACTCTGTCTCCCAAAAATGAATAAATATAAATTTTTTTAAAAAATTTATTTCTCTCATTTTTTTGCTTTTTGCAAAGGCCCTCAACTCCCTGAAATTCTCAATTACTGCCAAGGGAGGCAACTCACTTGCCAGTCTTAGGAACATGACAGGTAGAGAAGCAGAAAAATTAAACAATGCAGAACTACTAAAATCACTTTATTTTTAATAATTGATGACAACAGAAGCAAGAGAAAGCAGGTCTGCAATATATCTACAAATTTTCAAACTTAAATGCTACTCATTGATCAAAATATCAAATTCTCTTTCTCTAATTCTTTGACTTAATATACATCTCTAGTATAGTTCAGTAAGTAGTTCAGTACTTACCTAAGAGTGTCTATATACCACCCTTGGGTAAATACAATGCCTAAAATTGGTATCTCCATCTTAGTTCACCTTATATGTTACATGCTTATTTCTGTTTTTTAAATATTTTTATTATAACATAAGATAATGCTAGTTTATTTTTATTCACAGCTCTGTATATTACATAACGCATCTGTAATCCAAATTATGCAAAAATCAGATATTTACTTTTCTGTATATCTCAGAGAATCCTAACCTACTTGTATTTAATTAGCTTGCCTTTTGAGTGCTTTTGTTTCCTATGCCTCTACGCCTTGAATTCCTTAGATTATTGTCTACTTTTAAACAAGATATTTTATATATCAACTATACTTATGTTTTGTGTGTAGGCTTATACACGATTATGATTGTTAATTTTCCTCTGTTATTTTTCTACTCAATAGCCTTTCTTTTATTTTACGAAATTGCTTAGTTTTTTTAAAGTTTCCAAAGGTAAACCAAAACTAAATAATATAGTATAATTAATATAATACCTTTAATATAGTATATACTTTTTTATTATTATGTCTGTATTTCAAGTTGTTCACAAGATATTGTTTTTTCTGGAAAGAGACTGATAATAGAAGACCTGGTGATTGTCAAGGACACAGATTAATTTCTTTGTGTCATCTGACCATGATTACAATCAAGCACTCTGGGCCTGTGGGTAGCTTGTTGGTTAAGCATTTGATTTCGGCCCAGGTCATGATCTCGTAGTTTGTGGATTCGAGCCCCCTGTTGGGTCTGTGCTTGACAGCTCAGAGCCTGGCGACTGCTTCAGATTCCCCCTGAATCTGTTCCTCTGCCACTCATGCTTTGTCTCTACATCAAAAATAAATAAACATTAAAAAAAATGAAAAAAAAATGCTCGCACCCTGAAAAGAATTTAATGTAAAAGAGATATAGCAGAAAACCAAAGTCTGAGGCTTACCTCTTCTGAAATCATAATTAAGGAATATAAGATAAAGAAGCCACTATAGAAATAACTTAATTAGTAAGATTTAAATATTAACTAGGATGAGGATATAACCAAGAATGGGATCAACAACATTTTATTCTGCAGAGGTTTAGATCGTAAATATCTTAGGCTTTTCAGTCCACATAATCTTTGTCTGCTATTATTGCACGAAAGCAGTCTGGCAATATTTAAATGAATGGATGTGACTGTGTTCTAATAAACCTTTATGTAAATTTGAATTCCATATAATGTTTACATGTCACAAAATAGCATTCTTTTGGTTATTTTAAACCACTAAAATTGCAAAAAAATGTTCTTAGCTATTGGGCCACAGAACAAGAGTAGGAAATGGTTTGTGTTTGGCCTGAGGCCATTGTTTACTGATCCTTGCCTTACAAAAATGAAAGAACATTTTAGGAAGAACCAATGTCTGAATAGCCAAATGCATCAGAATTTATGAGAAACTTGAGAGCAGATGTTCTCTTGTATTCATGTTTCCAAAGATAGTTTTGCACAGTATCTCTCACATAGTAAGAACTCAATCAATGCTTCCCAACAAAAAATAAAGACTGATGATTGGAAATTCTGAGGCCACTGGTGATCTTTCCTCTTTTGAAACAGCAAGGATGAGGAAAGCCAGTCTGAAGTATGAACAACTTATATTGAAAAGTCAGGAAATAGACAGCTTGTTCAGTGTCTGAAGAGAATTGGATGGATGATTGGAATGGAAAGAAGATGAAATCCAATTAATGTTTTCTTATTCTTTGCTTCTTAAATTAGAGGGGAATGTTCATGCTTGAATACTTGCCAGAGACATAACTAAGATTACAAATGAAATATAGGGAAGATCTTTCTGAAGGCAAAGGACAATGGACAAATCTGTGATTAGAGAGAGGGATGAGAGGAGGGGATAATGACAGACACTTACTGAGTTGGATGCAAAGAAAATGGAGGTGCTTATGACAAATTACACGTGTCCTCACCATAGATAAGAGAAGATATGCTGAGAGGGGGTGTATGAGAACGAAGAGGAAGGGGAGGTGGGAATTTGGAAATTTGAGGGAAATGTGTTTTCAATAGACAGTCAATACAATCAATAAAAATGGCAAAATATAGAAGACAAATGCATCTATCCATCTATTTGACCTACTTAGGTTTAGCAATCAGGTATCAGCACTGTTTTAATTGTTAAATCCAAACTTCTATCATCACTAGAAACATGTCTTGTTTGCCTTTAAAGTTTTGGAAGAGGATAATGCAGACACAGGAATTATGTATTATTAAATATTAAAATGACCCAAGGGGAAATAGATAAGTTCTAATTATGAATTATGAATTGTCTTTTTCTTATTGGCACTCATTCTTATTAGTTCAAATATCTTATTAGTTCCTTTTACTCTAAATAGTGGTAGATATTTCTATAAAAAGTGATTTAACTAAATGTCTTGATATAATTCCTGACAATTTTCCTCATGAGTGTGTATTATCTTAATTTTATTTTGCATCCTTGGGTTTCTTTGAGCTCTTCTTTTATCTCATTAAATGCCTAAGGCATGTGAAAAAACATTCCTCTAAAATTCCTATCCACAGAAATAAGTATTAATCTATGTGATATGAACAAATAAGAGTGTCTTTGTAAAATGGAAACTAATAGACTCTCATCAGAAATAATGGCATAAAGTGAAGCAAGGAAAACTCAGGGTGGCTGTCAGGAAACTTTTAATGGCTTTGTAAAAATGATTGCAAGGATGGTCAGGGACATCTTATGGGCACAGCATACAAATAGGAGATAATTCCCAGCAGAGCAGTTTATTTTACTGTTGAATAGTTTTGCAGCAAACAAAGGGGTGGAAATTGCTCCTGGTTCAGCAGTTGTTCCGCTGACAGTTATGTGTCAGGTCACTCACACTTCCTATTATTCTGGCAGATTTTCTTGGTAGCTTTTACACAACAGCAAAGAATTTGTAAACAATTTCCCAGATTCAGAGCCTTTCATCATCCTTAGATCCCGCTTTCTTCCCACATCCTCATGCCTCTCAAGTACATATTTTATATAGTGCTTGATTCTCACAAATAGGTTCTTGTGAAAGATATTTAATGTACTTCTGAAGAAACATGTTTGGCATAGAAATTAATGCTGCAGTGAACTGATGAACGGAACTATAGTGGGCATGGGCTGAGGACAGATTTCTGCCTTCAGGGTTTATGATACCTGCTTAAGGGTTCCATGGACATGATTCAGGATGGCCCTGCTGGTAATCACTTTAGAATCATTATGGTATATTCTAGATAATGGAGTTAATCTCATACCTCCAGAACTACCAGAAGCATATATATGGATGTTTAGTTGTTTTTGGTTATGCTCTGCAAGCCTGGAAGCACTGTACTGCTTTTTGTTTGTTTGTTTGTTTGTTTTTGTTTAAATCACTATCATTACATATTCCTGGTGATTTGACCATACCTGACAACCTCTGGGCTGAATTATTTTTTAATGTTTATTTATTTTTGAGAGACAGAGAGAGAAAGAGAGAGGAGGGGCAGAGAGAGAGGGAGACACAGAATTAGATGCAGGCTCCAGGCTCTGAGCTGTCCGTGCAGAGCCCAAAGCGGGACTTGAACTCACAAACTCTGAGATCATGAGCTGAGCTGAAGTCGGATGCTTAACGGACTGAGCCACTCAGGCGTCCTTGGACTGAATCTTAAAAACTAGTGGAACGGTCAGGTCCTCCCTCAATCCGATCTGAAATTCTCTAAAGAACAAAAACAGCAGATCACACATTGAGCTTCTTATCCAAAGTGCTCTGGTTTTTACATTATTTTCTATATGTTAGGCATTCAAAAAATCAACCTACTATGTCTTAATTTATGGACATTTAGCACAAACTATGTAATACTCAACCAGAAAGCAGTTGTAGGGGAAAGGAGCAGACAGAATTAAAAAGCTTAGGCAGATTAAAAAATTTTATAAAATTTGATCTTGATACCAAATTAGAAAATAAAATAAAAAATAAAATAGTTATTCTGAATAACTACTTATAATTTTTCTAAGATTCTTATTCTCCACAAATTAGAAAACTTTCATTCATTTCCAGTGGATTTGGAGGCTTTTGCAAAGACCACGGATATGCCATGGGGGCAGCCACAGATACTGTGATAACCTCTAACTCTACTTTGGTGTGACATTTAATGTCTGGCAAAGAAGCTTGAGACTGGGGGACTTGAGAGAAAACATTAAATGTATTATCTATATCTGAAGCTACTGAGTTATGAATTAGGTAGTAACAAATGAAAGGACAATGTCCTATTAGAAATAAGTAATTAAGGGCTTGATGAAATTTATATTAAAGGGTTGTTCACATTGATTTATTTATACATTTAATGAGCTTAAATATGCACTCTATATTGTTTTATTTGATTCAACAGACAACTCTATCTCTCTGTGATGTATATATTTAACATTTGATGTTGAAAGTAGTAAAGCATCAAACATTAATTTTGCTCCTATATGCCATACCCATGTTATAATTTAAAATATTCATTTTTCCACTATTGTTTAAATTATAGGATGAAGTCTGTCCGAAAGCTGAAGAAAATGAAGTTCAGAGGTGTGTGTGGGCATCAGCTGTTAATGTCAAAGACAAGTTCATTTATGTTGCACAGCCAACTTTGGACAGAGTCCTTATCGTTGATGTGCAGTCCCAAAAAGTTGTTCAGGTATGAATGATCCTGCTTTTGAAGGTGATCTTTTAAAAAGAAATATTTCCTTTTATGTAATTCTTCACCAGGTGGCTTGTACATCGCCATTTGATTGTCTTTGCTAATTTACTTCATTACTTGGATATCTGGGAATGTATGCATTTTCTGCAAAGTCTCCTTTCATTCTGCTGCCTGAGCTTAATGAATTTAAAAAAACAAATTTTCTTATTTTAAAAAATTACATTCCATAAATGCATCATAATACTAGCATGACTATTTCCACAAAAATGAACCTAAGAATTGCTTATTCTGTTTAGAGCAAGGAGAGTTCCAATCAGAGGCTAATTAAGGTATTCCCAGTTACCATTCCAGAAGCATTATTATCTCTTTCTTATTTGATTCTTAACAAAAGCCAAGATAATTGTAGACTTTATTAGATAATAGTAATTTAGTAGGTTTTACTAGAGTAGTAAAACAAGTCAATAGGTACATAAGTCAATTACAGAGAAAAAAAATCCTATTAAAATTTTCATGGTCATGGTTATAAAAAACTATTCTGGTTTGAGACCCCAAATGTTTCATCCTCTATTCTTCCAAAGTTGTTAAACTTAGGCAATCTATTTGTACTCCATTGCAGAACAGCAAAGGGGAGGTACTGGATTTTCCTCTAAGTAATTTGGTTCCAGTAGCTGGGCCCTTGACTCATGATCTATTGCTTCATAGCTCAAAGGAAAAAAACTTAAAACAGCTTTATTGGGTATATCTAATAATGGGCTTAATAATTATACATATCTCATAAATTTATATTTAGGATTAACTCAATTAATTTAAGGGGAGTACAGGTGATGCAGGAAGTATGCTAAAAAAATAAAAAAACAATAAAGTCTGATATTGACATCAGACTTTAAATAAACTTTAAGAACAAAGTATTAATTTAAAACAAGTTACTCGATAATGGTAAAAAGTTAATTAAGAAGGGCTCCTGAGTGGCTCAGTCGGTTGAGCGTCCGACTTCGGCTCAGGTCATGATCTCACGGTTCGTGGGTTCGAGCCCCGCGTCGGGCTCTGTGCTGACAGCCAGCTCAGAGCCTGGAGCCGGTCTCCGATTCTGTGTCTCCCTCTCTCTCTGACCCTCCCCTGCTCACACTGTCTCTCTCTCACTCTCAGAAATAAGTAAAACATTAAAAAAAAATGAAAATTTCCATACAGGGTACATTCAGCCTTGTATTCTTTCGGCTAGAAATATTACTTATTGAAACCTATTGTTGACTATAAATATCAACCTAAAATTTTAGATATAGAAATAAAAGACTTTTTTAAATTTAAAAGTAAAAATTATTTTTTAATTTAATTATGTTTATTTTTGAGAGAGAGAACACGAGCAAGGGAGGGAAAGAAAGAGGGAGAGAGAAAGAATCTCAAGGAGATACTGTACTGTCAGCACAGAGCCTGAGGTGAGGCTCTATCCCACAAACCTTGAGATCATGACCTGAGATGAAATCAAGAGTCGGGCACTTCATGAACTGAGCCACCCAAGAGCCCTGAAAGTTAGACTTTCCTATTTTTTTTTTTAAATTTGTCTAAGTTCTTGCTTTCAAAATCATGTATAATTTCAGCCTGTGAACTCTTTAGATAATGAGTTCCATATGTTTACTACCTGCTGGGTGAATGAACACATTCTTATATTTGTCTTAACATTACCTTGGCAGTATATAAATTTTATTCCTCAAAAGTACATGCTTAAAGGTGAATTATAAATACCCTAGTCATTCTATTTTTATACTTGAAAATACTTCATCTCTTAGGATTATAAACCCTTAAGGTTTGCCCAATTTAAAAGCAACATGATAGATCTTACAGACTTCAAGACAATATTGAACCCTCTGTTTTATAAATGAATAACCCAAGTAGTTCAAGTTTTAAAACTATTTGAAAAAACATTTCTAGCTACTTAAAAGATTAAATTAAATAACAACAACAACTTTTTGATTTAAAGCTGTATTTATATCCAAGAACAGGACACACTCAAAGTCAACTGCAAAGCACAAAGTTAATTTTATAAAAAGTAAACCATCCCTTTCTCATTCTGACCACTTTTCTCAACTGAGCCTACTGTTGAAGTTAGTCTGTTTTACATCCAAGGAAAGTTATACTTCCAGATTGTGTGCTGTAGCTGTTTATTATTTCTTTCAAATCTGAGTATATTATACAGAAACATCTAAGAATATTAATTATAACAGAAAGTTAGTTCATTTTCTCCCAAACATGATAAAAAATACCAAAGAATTTTCCATAGTGTGGATATAGAAATGGAGCAGTGAAGTTCAAAATCAATCTTAAAAAAAGAAAAGAGAAAAAAATACTACTACTCTTATTTAAGTTTAATCTTTTGAGCTTTCTTTTTCAATTTAAGTAGATCCCTAGTGTTTTACACTGACCTTATCTAAGAAATCATATTTCTGACTTTTTCTCTTGCCTGCAAACACCTGCAAAAGATTGTGTGGATTGGTATTAAATGTGTATTTTAGGATTAAAAATCTAAAAATTTTGAACAGCTTTGTTACATCTTTTTAATTAAAATAACAAATATTTTCTTGACAACATAAGGTTTTATAAAATTCATGATAGAATATTACCATTGGGGTCTGTTTGTTTTCAGTGTATGCAACAATATCATTTCTTTCTGCTGCTTAAACAGTAAAAGGTCACAATTTTTTAATAGAATTGTTGGTGTTGCTTTAAACATCAAATGCGTTTTCATAAGAACACATGAAATTTTAATAAGAGTGGCATACAGGTAATATTTGGCTGTATAAAAGATTGACTAGTAAACAACTGACCTCATTTTGTCTTCTGTGGAGCAAAATCAGGTTCTGCTTGGATGCAAAAGTGGCTTGTGACACCTCGGGAGTATTCTTAAGTGTCGTCAGCAGTCTCCTCTAGCCATTAGCACATTATCTTGAGAATCGACATCATTAGTTTAAATTAGGTTCACTTAATTAGCCAGCTGGTACTCTCCTTGTCAGACTGATAAACAAGCTGTGCTTCACTGTTTCTTCATGTCAAGACTCAACCCCAAGTTTTATGTATCTTGGTTGCTATTATCAGTATTTTGTCCTTACAAAATAAGCCATCTTTATAGAAGTTAATGCAATTGGTCCATGACCAGTATAGCATGTATTTTAGATTTTTTATATTTGTCTCACTCCCTCAAGAAATACTGATAAATTTGTAGATATGTTTGGGATTGTGAAAGAGTTAAGGTTTGTAGACTATCAAAGAGAAAAAACAAACCCTTACAGTGTAAGTAGATTATATCCTTAAACGATGTTTTAAAATATTAAAGAAAAATATGTTATTTATATCTTTATAAAGCTACAAATAAAACCTTTTTATTATTATATTATATAGTATATTTTAAGCATTTTAATAAAGTTATAGGGTAGGAAGTTAATTAAACATAATATAACACTCAAAATGGTACTTCTATGGAAAATTAAGAAATATGGATTCTCAGAACTGAATATGTAGATCATTGCCATGAATTAATTACAATGACAACATATTGTCATTTTAGAGATATTTCTGAAAATCTTTAAAAGATCAATTCATTTTTGGAAGTAGGATTGTGATTTAATTATCTGAATATCAGGAGGCCAAGCAAAGGCTACTATGTGCAGAAAACCATACTGTTTATAATATGGGAGAAAAATTTCCAACCTAGTGTATCATAAGCTTTAATTTAAACAAAGTCTTACACAGGGCACCAGGGTGGCTCATTCAGTTAGGTGTCTGACTTCAGCTCAGGTCATGATCTCCTGGTTCGTGGGTTCAATTCCTGCATCAGGCTCTGTGCTGACAGCTGAGATCCTGGACCCTGCTTCAGATTCTGTGTCTCCCTCTTTCTCTGCCCTATCCCATTCACGCTCTGTCTCTCCCTCTCTCTCAAAAAGAAATAAACATTAAAAATTTTTTTAAACAAAGTCTTAGGGAATCGTTCAATAGACATAAACTGATTTCATTTGTTCAATTATGGTGGGAATTTGAATCACCTGCTACAAATAAAAATCTCATTTCCATAGGCTTCTCACAGCAAAGGTTGAGAGCAATTTTCCTAGTAAAATAATATCAGTAATTAAATACAAATTTATACAAAGTAATAAATGAGCATTCTATATAGGTTAGCTGTGAGGTAAAAGATGAATACGTATACAATTTCTTTCCAATCATATATCCTTGAACATTGTTTTTCAACTTATATCTTTTTTTTTCTTGGTAAGTGGTGACTAGCTGCAGAAAAATATATATATATATATATATATATACACCAATGGTCTCCAAAGTGAAATATGTGCAGCATAAAGCAAAGAAAGATGACAAGGTGTGAGAAGGGAGGACTAGGATGTCTTTTTATCTTAAAAAAATCATATTACATTTTATAGACATTTAACACATGGATGGGCCAACGTGGGAGCCCTGAATTCATCTCTGTGTTGAATAGTGATGTAAAACACAGTGGACATGAGGGCACCTGGAGAGGAAAGTGGGAGTTTCACAATAAGGAGGGATCAATCTTGGTACTTTAGTTCAATTTTATCTGTACAAAGAGGATAACGATAGTGCATACCTCGTTGCAGAGACAGTTACGAAGATGAAGAGAATTGTATTTGTAAAACCTTTTTAAAAACCCTTGTTCATTATAAGCATAGCACAGAGTATAATTGTCTTTCTTAAATAAAATAATAATGATTATCTTACAACGTTTTGGAATGTTGCTTAATTTTGCAATTTTGTCTCCCCAGTTAAGTAGATTTAGAGGTCCATTAATTGTGTGTTGAGTACCGCTATTTACAAGGCATTGTTCTAAGTGCATAGGTCATATCATTGACTTACACAAACACAGTCTGCTTTCTTGGAACCTACCTAGAACCAGTGGATGAAAACAGATATGAAAAATGGGAATACTAAAATGTAAAGGACATAGTGTATGGTGAGGTGGTAAGTGCCTCGGAAAAGGTAAAATGGCAGCGCAGGACTAGGTGGGGCGGGGCAAGCTAAGGAGGAGGGCACAGGCACAAAGTGAAGGCTGCCGACAGTATTAGGCAGGGCGGTCAGACTGGCCTCACAGAAAAGGTGAGTTCTGAGCAAAGGAGGTGCCGAGGAAGCAGACACTGAGCTATTTGGGAGTCCGTTCAAGGGAAAAGCCCTCCAAAAGACAGACGTGTGGCTAGTGTGGTGGATGAACAGCCGGAGGCCAAGAGCACCTTGATTGGAGGAGTAGGTGAAGGAGTCAGAGAAAGAAGCGGGAAGCGACAGGTCAGCTGGGGTCTGTTAGTCGTTCGAAGGACGTTTGGCTTTACTCGGAGGGAAAGGAGGAGACACTGTGGTGTTTTGAGCATATTAGTGTCATGATCTGTCTGATAGTTAAAAAAAAAATCCTCCCCACAAATCTATTGAGACAGTTGGTGAGTATAAAGTTAGATGTTAGAAACCACGTGATGAGGGTGAAGAGGATAGAGTCTCTATTCTTGTTGGTAGCAAGGCACGTGCTGCAGAGGTCAGTAGTTAGAAGGCAGATGGAATCCTGTTTCCTGAGAATGAGGGGCATGAGAGAAAGAGGGCAGAAAAAGATAATAGAATATTTACAATCCTTTTCATAAAATGTGGAGAAATATTTAAACTATTTTATAACACCTAAGTTTACAGGTTTAATTGTAGATGAAAAAAATTAAGTACCAAATATAGTGTCTTTCTCTTTTACAAAGGCTAATGGTCTAAACTTACTCAACATTTAAAGTAATCTCTAGGTCTTTGGTGCCGTGGCTTAGTTGGTTAAAGCGCCTGTCTAGTAAAGTAATCTCCAGCATATACTAGAAGGTATTTTGTGAAATTCAATACACGCAATTTATTCCTTTCAAAGGTTGACGATATAAGTAAGATAAGTATCCATTTTTTGGCTGAAAATTGGGTATGGCAAGATTCACTTGAAGATAGTTGTTTGGAAATATTTCTGTCATTGTTACATGATTTTGTTGCTGAAAACCATGTAAATGTTCCCTCTGTAAAATGTGTGATATCTGCACACTTGAAATGTTGTAAACAGAGTTTTTCCCTTAGAGTTAAACATTTTCCAAATAAAGTATATCAGATGGGCTTTTCTTCATTTTGATCCACATATCTCTTTCCGTTTTGGTGAGCTTTTATAACCAAATACCAAAGTAAATTGAAGAGAATTGAATACGAAACCTTTGAAATTCTGAAAGGCAAAATGTTCAAAAATTTTTGAAGAGCATTGAGCAGATATTTTTCAAACTCTGAAGCTGTTTTAAAAATTGATTGATATTTTTCTCCTTCAGATACGTATAGCTTAATTTACTTGAAGGCAATTATTCATGGACCGTTTTTTGACATCTCCAGAAACATATTCTCATAAGTCTCTGCCTTCTCATTTATAAAATAGTCTCTGTCTTCCCATTATAAAAATATTCATACTTAAAAACTCAATCAAAGCATCACCTCCTCCTCCCCTTATCCTTCATCCTGCTTTGTATTCCTTCCCCTGAACCTTCATGGCATTTGGTTCTTATTTTTATTTTTGCCACATCATTTAAGATTTTTTCACCCTCTTGTCTACAAATTCTTTCAGGACAAACACTGTGTTTATTCACTATCTCTTCTAGGTCTCAGATTCTTCATTTGCTAAATAAGGGTACAATATCTCAATGAGGTTAATTGTCATGAAAATGGTAGTATTTCCTGGCACACCCTAAGCACTTCATATTTACTACCTTACCAAATATTCAGAACAACCCTTTGAAGTAGCTGTGATTACTGTCTCCATTTTATCAGAGAGGAAACTGAACCACAGAAAAGCTTAGTAACTTCTGAAGGTATTATTATTCTTCCAACTTCAATGAGAAGGCTGAAACTTGAAGTCAGCTTCAGAATGCATGCTCATAAACATGGAGTATTACTGCCTCTCACTGATTCTGCCTCTCACTGATAAACGTTTACACTGTTTATACAAATGGTACTGCATATATGTGGGTCTGTGGGCTTCCTTACACCTTCAAAAAAAATAAAATAAAACAACAACAACAAAAACAAAAACAAAAAATGTTTTCTATACATGAGGCAAAAATAGGAAGGCAACATACCCACACACTCACCGTCAGGAATTAAACTATCAACTAGGAAGGATAATCTTTCATATGCAGGGGGGTTGCCACATTGGGGATAAACACAGACTATCAAATCTCATCTCTGCTGATCACCTGCTAGATGACTACTGGTAAGACCGAGTCTCCATTTCTTCTCCTGTTTTATGTGGATATGAACATAACACATGGACAGAACCTTATGAGAACTTGCAAAATGGAAATTTTCATTTAAATTGTTCCTTAATATTTCAAGTTATCTAAACATCTTTGCTCTTTGTGTAACTGTATCTTAACAGTTAAAAAACAATATGGCCTTTCTAATAAATTTTTTTTAAATGTTTTATTTATTTCTAGGAGAGAGAGAGAGAGACAGCGTGAGCAGGGGAGGGTCAGAGAGAGAGGGAGTCACAGACTCTGAAACAGGCTCCAGGCTCTGAGCTGGCAGTCAGCACAGAACCCGACGCGGGGCTCGAACCCACGAACCGCGAGATCATGACCCAAGCGAAAGTCGGACGCTTAACCGACTAAGCCACCCAGGCGCCCCTGGCCTTTCTTAGTGTTGCTTTTGTTGCAATATTGAACCATTTTATCTTTAATAGTTTAAAGATCTAAAGATTATTCCAATTTAAGCCACATGCAAAATAGGGTAACTTATAATCACACATAAATCAAGTTTTATGTATAAAGGGGAAAATATGAAAAATCAAAAGACTCTTATTGCTTTGTTATTGGCGTAATGATTAATGATGACACTTTTGCTATGTATGCATTGAAATTATCAATGAGGATAGAAAAAATTGAGATGAAACATCTGGCATTCACTTGATTACAATTAACAAAATGCCAGACTATTTCTTAAGTAATAAAGCCATTTAATTATCCCAAATAACATCAAGTCTGGAGATCGTTTTTCTAGGTTTGTGAAGCAAATCAAGATTGTTATGGAGAATTCAGTCTCCTTTCATTTTTCTCTTGCCAAATCCTCCAACTATTGTGTGGCTTTTCCTTCTGAAGCTTATTGTTTCATGGCCTCAAAATGACTTTGGAAATTAAGGCTTACTGTTCTCATATAACAGCATTCAAAGCAGAAAGAAAGAGAAAGCGTGTCACAATAGCAATCTCAAAAGTCATTCATCACTTTAATCCTTACCATGTATAAATGAGAATATACCACGTGCTCACAGTAGCCTCTAGAGAGCCTGGGAATCTTCACACTTGTGAAAGAGGAGTAGGCTTCAATCTCTGATGCTCACCAAGTGGGTGAGCTCACCTTCCCTGAGAACATTGGTGGGTACCAAACCCCAAAACAACATAGTGTCTCTTTTAGCCAGGAAGAAAGTGATGAGGACACTAATACAGACATCTTTAAATAGGTATTTTCAGAAATTAAATAATTACTTTAGTAATCCAAGAGTATTGAGAATTTTAAATAGATAAAATGCAGGGCAAGCCTTTAGAAAATAGGTACTTTGGTAAGACTAAATTGCCAACATGTTAGCTAAAACATGAGCCTTCACACATTCAACCACAGCAGTAGTTTACCTCTAATCCACTGAGGACAGGATTGCATTAGGAACTAAGACTTGGGAAATTCTCTAAGGATATTCAGCAGAGCTTTTGAAAGAAATGCTTTCTATATTGAATAAAGGTCGTTTTATTGAATACAATTTGTTTAGTGCTATAAAATTAGAAAAAAATATGTAAGGAAACTACTACAAGAAATTACTTGAAAAAGGTGTTAGTTTGAAATATAAATAGTTTGAAATTAAGGTGAGTGAAATAACTTCCTGGCAGCAATTTGTTTTCTGGAAGTTTTGTTTTAAGTAAGTGCTAAATATTATAAATATTAGCAGAAAAATGCATTTACCATATCAAGTATGTTAAGAAAATGCTTTTACTTCTTTCTGTGGTTTAAGATTACTCATTAACAAAACTAAATTAGGTAATCTGTCATTAGAGTTACAACCCGTATATCAGATTGTAGGCATTTTAGCATTATAGATGACCAAATCCCATAACCAACATTAGAATGAAACCTAATAATATAAACATAGTTCTTACCTGTGTTCAACAACTGAGTAAAATACACACATTAATCATTTATATATCTTGAGTTTCTAAATAGCTTCTCTATGACACACAATTTGCATCGGTAATGAAGGAACTTAAGACTACATGAAACTGTGCAAAAAATATGCTTGGGTAAAGTATCATATTTACAAATTAATCAAATAAAGGTTTAGAAAATTAGATAATTGACAACATAAATGTTTAATCTTACATCTAAACTCTAGTGTTTTTTTTTTTATAATTTCTGGCATAGTTTTAAACTAATAATATTTCAGTCTGAAAACATTTTTTTCAACTCCTATTTATTACAGGCAGTGAGCACAGACCCTGTGCCAGTCAAATTACATTACGACAAATCACATGATCAGGTTTGGGTACTAAGCTGGGGCACCATGGAAAAGACTTCTCCAACATTGCAAGTAAGTACATTTCAGTGTATTTGAGAAAACGATGATTTTTAAGCCTTTACATATCTCATTGAGTATTAAAACTATTTAACAATGACATTCTTCCATCTGAGGACTATACTAAATCACATCTAGGTCTGCACAGATAAGGGAGGAGGAAGACAATACTCAAGTACCTTGTTTGGATTGGAAAATACTATAGATCATACTTACCAAAGGTTAGATTTATATGCAAAAATAATAACCAATGATGACAAAACTGATTCCATTAGGAAGAAAAAAGTCATAATTTTCCTTTCAGCGATTACCTTCCTCCTTCCAATTTTCATGAGAATTTTATTGTTTCCATCTCTCTTTCAAAATGAGGCATGTGAGAGAGAGATCAAGAGAGTTAGAAGATACATTTTCATTTTTCTCCAAACAGATAGTATGTTATTTGAGCACAGACTTATTTCTAACTGAGGAATAAGTGGTATAATCTTTGTGGAATTTGCTTACACTTTAAAGTTGTTTATACAGAACTTAGTAGAGAAAATATATATATATATTTTGACAATGTCTCTTTGGCACAGTCTTTCAATTTTTGGCATGACAAGTTTAACAGAAAACTGAGAGGGAATGAGAAAGAACATTTGGCCCTGGAAATGTGTTTTATCTGTTTCTCAAACTGCCTTGTGATTATAGCACTGCTGTGAAGATTCCTCTTCTTACAAAGTCCTAAATCATTAACCTTTGGCCAGTTTTCACTAAGTCTATTAAGTGCAATTTTTTTTTTTTTTTACTTTTAGTCAGTTGTCACTACCAATACTTTAAATGTTTCAGAAGTAATTTTAGTTTTACAATATTTAACTACAAAAGGCAAGTTTACTGAAATGAAATATTTTAAAGGAACTATCAGAATGATTGTTTTTATATTTCACTAGAAATATGTGTCATAGGTAACATCTAACATATAATAGTTATTCAGTTATCTGTTGTGGCAAATCAAATCACCCCAAAATTTGATGTTTCAAACAGAATTAAAGAATGACTTATTGGGATGCCTGGATGGCTCAGTTGGTTAAGCTTCTGACTTCAGCTCAGATCATGATCTCACGGTTTGTGGGTTCAACCCCCACTTCAGGCTCTATGGTGACAGCTAAGAGCCTGGAGCCTCCTCTGTGTCTTGCTCTCTCTGCCTCTCTCCCAAATGTGCTCTATCTCTTTCTCACTCTCAAAGGTAAATAAACATTAAAAAAATAATGACTTATTACTCATAGTTCTGTGGCTCAAAAATCTGGGCAGTTTGTGAGCATGGTTAAGGAACACTCAAGTGGCTGCCCTCATCTGATTACAGTAGCTGGATGACTCAAAAAGGTCTCACTCCCAAGTTTGCTATGTGATACTGGTGATTAGCTGGGTGGCTTGTGTCTCCAGCATGTGCCTATTCATCCTTTAGACTGGCATCTGGCAGCATGATGGTTCCAGGTTATAAGATGGTGGAACTTGCAAGGCTAACTAAGATCTAGGCCTTAGAATTCACAGAGTCTCTTCTACCATAGCTTTTTGCTCAAAGCAGGGCATATACTGGCCTAGATTCAAGAATATAAAGTAACAGAGCCAGTCTTTTGGTGGAAAGAGTACAATCTTTATTGTGGACTATTGTTTGGCTGATCTATGACAATATGGTAATATCATCTAGTTATTTGATATTTTATCCTTAAATCTTGACATGATAGAACAGGCCAATATATATTATTTTTTTAAAAAAATATTCTTTTGAATTATTTTAATTCTATTTACCTTTAAAATAAAATAAACACAGCTTATAAAGTTAATTTTTTTTCTTTTAAAGCTGTATATATTTTCTTTTTATACTTTCTTTAAGTCTTATTTATTAATTTTGAGAGAGTAAGAGAAAGAAAGAGAGAGAGAAGAAGAATGACTGGGGGAGGGGAAAGAGAAAGTTGGACAGAAGATCCAAAGTGGGCTCTGTGCTGACAGCAGAGAGCCTGATGCGGGGCTCAAACTCACGAACCATGAGATCATGACCTGAGTCAGATTGAGCCATCCAGACACCCCAAAAGCTTTATATATTTTCATTATACTATATTCTTTAGAAGTGATATCTTCCCCTCCCTATTGGCACTTGCTACTTGGATAGATTAATAGATTTCTCAGTATTGCAATCCTTCCATAAGGCACGTTATGCAAACTCCTTTAATATCATAAAGAAAGGGGGAGGAAGGGTTTATAAAGGTGTTAAGTAACTCCCTACACATTATCTAGCCCTTTAAAAATCAGTTCTTTTTCTCTGAATGTCTAATAAAAAATATGCTACTAAGATTTAATGAATTTTTTAAATATTTGCTGGGTGGAGAAGGAAAGGTAAGTTCCACAGATGAAAATATGAAAATATAAAATAATATGTAAGAATTGAGCAGTACTCCTGAAATAGTACATACACTAAGATTTATTTGCATGAAGTAATATTTACACACATGCACATGCATCTATATATGTCTGTGACAGATTAGATAGATTGATAAATAGAGAGACAGGCTGACAGGAAATACAGGGTCTCTGGATCAGAGAACAGACCATTTCTTACTCAAGGAGCATATTTGTGTTTACTCTCCATCCCCCATCCCCATGGGGTGATGTCGTGAGAGATTAATGTTACCCCGCATCAGCACAGTTGCACTAACAAGAAAAGGACGCTGCAATTACATGTGTCCAAGTATTTTCAAGACTGCTGGCACAATAGCCCATTCTCTCCTGTGAAAGATAGACATTATTATTTTTCTGGAATGCAAATCTTATCAGGGTGGTACTCTGGAAGGTCAGTAAGACTCAAAAGAGTTAGGTCTCTACCTCTCTCAAGAGCAAGGTACCACCTTTAGCTTCCAAGGCACTTTTGCTATGTCACCATCCTTGAACCAACTGAGCCGGTGCCCTCTGCTCAGAAAGACTTGACTCAGCAGAAATGTCAACAGATTCACGGTTAATTGTCTCCCAACAAGATTATCAGGAAACATCTGTAAAGGAAATGGGATTTAAGATTTGTTCCAAAGGGGAAGAGACTTCCCTTTGGAGACATTGATTCACCAAACCGAAAACAAGGGCAAGGTCTGATTTTCGCTACAGTGTTCCTGTAGCATGTTGAAAGATTAGACTAGAACTAGAGAGATTGATGCCAGGTTGTGATGGCTGAGCAGTAACTTTTTGTCCTAATGCAATACTGATATCTTGAAGGTGTGCAAGCATTTTATCAAGGATCTGAAAGTCATATGAAAACATTTTGATTTCATTTTTGACTATAATTAAATTTATACAACTTTGCCAATTATGGAAGCAAAATATATTATTTTCTGTGATATTTATAATTAATTAATAACAACTCATAAGCTGTCATAACTATAAGGTAAGTAAGACAGTGATTTTGCAATTAGTGTTCTCAGATGAATTCTCAAAGATTTATCATTATTATTTTTTTTTAAATGTTTTATTTATTTCTAGGAGAGAGAGAGAGAGACAGCGTGAGCAGGGGAGGGTCAGAGAGAGAGGGAGTCACAGACTGAAACAGGCTCCAAGCTCTGAGCTGGCAGTCAGCACAGAGCCCGACGCGGGGCTCGAACCCACAAACCGCGAGATCATGACCTAAGCGAAAGTCGGACGCTTAACCGACTAAGCCACCCAGGCGCCCCTATCATTATTATTTTTAAAGGTATTTATACCTTATGAAAATTTAGGAAATGCTCTTCTGAAAGTCATGAGTCTGTCATCTACACAGTTTTACAATCCATATGTAATGTCTTTTAAAATGGGCAATAATTAGAGAGGAAATGTCCCAGGAAATGACTTGGAATAAAGTCTTTACCTCTTGCTGTTGGCCAGGAAGTAGGCTGTAGCCAGATGGGGTGGCGGTGGGTGTTTGAAGCTGTATGTTATTACAGATAGAGAAACCAACAGCAAAATGCCATTAGGAATGAGCCAAGGATTGTCCCAAGATAGGGCCTGTTGATAAGGTGCACTGTGGATCAATTTGTGTGTCCTGGCAGTTAGTCATCTCAGTCCTGAATCTGGCATTCACCTTCAAATGCAGCAATGAGAAGGATCTAGAACCATTAGGAAACAAAGTCCAGACTGAGAATTAGGGAAAAGTTAGTTAATATACAGTATAGTCTTGGCTTCAGGAGTAGAACTCAGTGATTCATTTCTTACATATAATACCCAGTGCTCATCTTGAAGAGTGCTCTCCTTAATGCCCTTCACCCATTTAACCCACTCCACCACCCCACCATCCCTTCAACCCTCAGTTTGTTCTCTATATTTAAGAGATGGTCTTATGGTTTTGAGGATGTGGGGAAAGAGGAACCTTATTGCATTGTTGGTGGGAATGCAAACTGGTGCAGCCACTTTGGAAAACAGTATGGAGGTTCCTCAAAAACTTAAAAATAGAACTACACCCAACAATTGCACTACCATGAATTTATCGAAAGGATATAAAAATGCTGATTTGAAGGGACACATTACACCTCAATGTTTACAGAAGTGCTATCAGTAATAGCCAAATTACATAAAAAGTCCAAATGTCCATCAACTGATGAATGGTTAATGGTTAAGATGATGTGATATATATCATGTGATATATGATGATATATATATATCCATATATTTATATACACAGTGGAATATTATTCAGCAATCAAAAGTAGTGAAATCTTGCCATTTGCAACAATGTGGATGGAACTGGAAGGTATTATGCTGAACGGAGTGGGAGACACTGTATTTTTTACTACCTAGGACTCTGCCAAACACAAATGAGATGCTCAGTTATGCTTTGGCATAAACTATTTTTCATCAGCAATGTTGGGGTGCATTGTAGTGTTGTTTGACTATTAAATTATGTGATGCCTCTTAACTGCTTAGCTGGCATGTAGCAAGCTCTCAGTAAATATTATTGCTGCCATCAGCCTGATTATTATTATTAGAAGTACAGGAATTTCCTAGTATGCACCTCTATACAAACTAATAAGAAGAGTTCCATTCCCATTATCTCTGTGATCTTTACTAAAATCTTGTAGACATTATTATGAATAGCTAAAATTCATTGAAAACTTCCTCACTGACATTCATTAATAAAATAGGCATAGGACCTTTAAAGCTTTTATCAAATTCTTTGACTCTCTCTTCCTCTGGGCACATGATGGCCTCCTTTTGGTTAGGTGAGGCCATATGATTAGTTCTGGCAAATGTAGTCTGTTGTAGGTGGAAACATTCAAGATAGTCTGCTGGTCCTTCAGCATGAAATACTAAGTGAAACAGCAGATACCCCACCAAACCTCTCAGGGAAAGTAATGGGTGTAAAATGAGATCTTTATTTCCCAAGCCTCTAAGACTTTATTTTTTTTTCTTTTTTCTTTTTTATCTTTTTTACCTAGTAACATAACTGAGCCTATGTCGACTATTCTGACAATCTATTTCATTTGGAAGACAATTTCTAGTGGAAGTGAATGAAAATATACTTATATGAATGAAGACAACTTAGCCATTCAGAGAAAAAAATCTAAAGTGCTATTACTTCTGTCATAAAAACCAAAGGCTCATTTTTGAGGGAAGAAAGTCTACTTAGGAGAGTCAGTCAACGGTTTAAAAAGTTTAATTTGGTGGCCATATGTAGAAAAGACTTAAAAAGGAGAAATAAAGGCAGAAAGTGCTTTAAAAGGCTGACACAGAACAATGGTTGTCCAGCAGGGACAGGAAAAATGTGGAGGTGCGAGAAATCTGAAGAAAGAACTGATAGAATTTGGTACAAAAAGGGATATGAGGAAGAAAAGAGTTTAAATGTAGTGATCTTTTCTTTAATGGACTATAAAAGTTTTCAAAACCAATTAACAATGAATAAAAAGAGGAAATGTCTTTGATCAAAACTTACTTGAATCTCTTCTTTTCAAAGTATAAGAGGAAAAAATTGAATATAATTTCATCCATTCTAAAGTTGCTAAAAGCTAAAATATTATGTATGATTTGTTTCAGTGTTTTCAGTTTTGTTTCCAGCTCTGTTCTATATTAGAGGTTTTCTATTCATCAGTTATACTTTCACAAAGCTGAATAAAGGAAGGAAGGAAGGAAGGAAGGAAGGAAGGAAGGAAGGAAGGAAGGAAGGAAGGAAGGAAAGAAGGAAGGAAGGAAGGAAAGAAGGAAAGAAGGAAGGGAGGAAGGGCAAGCTAATAATCTCATTTACATCATATGTATGCTTATTTTTATTTTTTTCTTACTATAGCAAGGTTAACACTTTTATAATACAGAAGTTGTTTATAATAATTTAATAATTTAAGCAGAAATTATTCAAGACAAATCTTTTTCTATTTTTTTTGTTTATAAACACAAATCTCTATGTTGAAAATAATCAAACAATTACAAAATTCCAATTTGCTTAATGATATACTAATTTTCAGGATGGCAATAAAGAGTCAAAGAAATGACTGCTGATTTGTTTCATCTCTAAATAAAATGAACACTGATACTATTAAGGGAATGCACTGCCAATGTCTAACCATGATGTGCTCTGTTTAGGTAATAACCCTGGCCAGTGGGAATGTGCCCCACCACACTATTCACACCCAGCCAGTGGGAAAGCAGTTTGACCGAGTGGATGATTTTTTTATCCCCACGACAACACTCATCATCACCCATATGAGGTAAGTGCTAAAATGAGTGATCAACTTTTAGATTCGTCCCTAATTTAGATAAGAAGCCATAAAAACTAAAACCCATTTCTGTTATACAACAGATATACACATAATTGCACATGATTGATGAAATTTTATTTACTGACATTAGTAATGAATTTCCTGTCATGTATTTCTTTGTATGCTTAATAAGGAAGAGAATGTTAAATGATCAGTTGCATTTTTAAATCAGTTTTACAGTTAATATTTTTGGAAGCTATCCTTAGACTCTCCTTATTAGACTTTTGCAAAATGCTGACATTTGAACTCAGCATGATAAAAGAACCACTCTTCTAGAAATCTATTCAATGTATTATAATGACATTCTTATACCATTTTTGTCCATATAGAAATCAATATAAAACTGTATTAGGAAGTATATGACAAATTGCAATGAAAGGTTTGAGGTCCACACTTTGAGGAAACAAGTTGGTGTACTCCATCTTTGTGTGTACTTCTAAGAGGAGGAAAAGTAATAACTTCTAATAACATCGCTCCAAAGTTCCATAGAAGTGGCTCAAATGCATAAAAGAGGGAGATTGGATATGTCTGTTAGTGAATTTGAATCTAATATTTTGTTCTGTTTCTCAACTGAATCAGGTGGAAATGCTCCAGATATGTTATATGAGTCATTATTTGATTCTTCTGTATATTTCTCTGGTATTAAATTGGAAATTATCTTATTTAAGAATTGGAGCTCTAAGAATTCTGAAAGATTAGGAAATTCAACTTCCACAAGTAAAAAAGGGGGATTAATAAATCAGAATTGTGGCTCATAGTCAGACACTACAGTTAAACTGTCATTTGCATAGTCAAGTATGTTTGCAAAGAGGTTAGCATATTTTTCAAGCAATTGACCATTACTTTCAGAGTGTCTATTATGTACTCAGCAATAAAGTGATTAAAAAATGTAATGGTCTGTTACAGTTATTACATGTTTTATGGAAAATAAGTAGAACATGTTGAAAATGCAGCATATTTTAAAAGTGTTTGTATCAAAGTCATAATTTTTACATTTGGCTATAAGTATTGTAATAATAGTTCAGACACACAAGAAATCAGCATATTAACCAAAAATGGTACCACTTGAGATGGTACCTAAAAATATGTTTTTATACTTACTTGATAAAGATACAATTTCATTTAATTGGCAATGAGTGTTATGATTAATTCCTTTGTTATTTTCAAATTATTGATAAATTATCACTAATCAATAATTTAGTATATAAAACTTGTTTTTATTTACTCCATTTTCTATTATGCATTACTGTATTTCATATACTATTCTCAGCTTTGCTTTTTTTTTTTTTTTCCAAATACACTAATGATGGAATTATTTGGGACAAATATCCTGTGTCTATAACACTAATCAGGTTAATAGTGTACAGTTCAGGGTTTTCCTTTTTCCCTGCAACCAGTAAATTATTTCATTATGGTAAGATAGCTACCAGGTCAAGAGTTTAACTTTGTCTAAATGCTGTAAGTACTATATGTAATTCTGGGTTTATATTTATAATTGCAAGATTACATTGCACAATTAAAGAATTGGTATACATACAGTCAGAACATAACATCTCTTTAGGGTCTTACTACGTAGTAGAGGTGGAGCTAATAATTAGAGGAGCATCAAATAATATGAACACATATAAGACAAAATTTTATTTTGGTTATTTCTATATATTATGACAAACACTGGAAAGCGTGCTTGAATGTGGAGAATAAGCTCAGGGATCCCCTGGGCTTATACCAATGGGTTAACAAGGCATAGAGAAATAAAAAGCCATAGGATGCTCACACCCGAATTTGGGTAAACATGATTGGCACCCTCGAGAATAGGATGGTGCAAAGGCACCCCAAGATTAAAATGATACAGAAGCACCCTGCGAATAGTGGAGTGCAGAGCACCCAAAATAGAGAAGGAAAGGTAGAGGCCCCAAAATAGGAACAAGCAGAGGCGCCTGGGTGGCTTAGTTGGTTAAGCGTCCGACTTTCGCTTAGGTCATGATCTCGTGGTTCGTGGGTTCGAGCCCCGCGTCGGGCTCTGTGCTGACTGCCAGCTCAGAGCCTGGAGCCTGTTTCAGTCTGTGACTCCCTCTCTCTCTGACCCTCCCCTGCTCACGCTGTCTCTCTCTCTCTCCTAGAAATTAAAAAAAAAAAAAAAACAATTAGGAACAGGCATAAAGGATCCCAATACAAAGGTATATGAGGTAAACAAGATTAGGCATACAGGGCAAAAGTGCCCCCCAATTTAGTATTACAGCAGAAAGCTGCTTTCACAGGAAGGAAGGACCAAATTAGGTAGGCAGGTAATTTGGGGTATAGAGCACTGCACTTTGATGCTATGCAGATGCAGGTGATTCTACCCAGTATGGAGCTAATTTACAAAAGAAAAGCTGCCCTGTTAACCTTGAAGTGTTTTGCCCTATCTGTCTTATCCCTGAGGCTAGCTAAGATAAACAAACCTGGCACCTCTTTAATGTCATTAACAACCATTTGTCCATCTGCCAGAAGCCGGGATTTTATTTTCTATTGACCCAAACCCCAAACACTGTATGTCTTCAAAACCCCCTTTCCCTCATGCCCATGAATTGATGTTCACTGATTCATTGTCTCTGTGCACGCCCATCATATCTGTAAGACTTCTGATCTTAATAAATATGGGGTAAGGACCCTTATTTGGGGCTCTTGTTAGTCATCTCTCTCCTATTTTTTAATCCTGCGTCCGCTTTCTTGCTAGACAAGAAAGAACTTTAGACCCAGAGTCTACAACACTTGAGGATATTTTTAATCTTTTTTTCCTTTTAGGGATGCATAGTGAAATGCAAGAGTATTTTGCTTTACTCATACACGTACTAAATTATAACCCTACTTGCATATAGAGTCGAATTTTGATGAATGTGGATGGTTAGATTTTGTACTGCGGTTCAAACTCACTGTTCCTATTACTAAAGTGAAGATTAAGAATAAAAATTATCATACATTTCCAAAATCCAAACATTAAATATAAACTATTTTAACATAATGAGAATTTTGTCTATGTTAGGAAAATCTGAGGGACAGATATGATCTTTTCTACTACCAATTTCATGTAACATATGTTTCTAATCAAATTTGGCATGTGTTTAAATATGTGTTACAAAGATTGATCTTTTTATAAATTGTCCTTTTTGGGATTTGAAACTATTTTCTGACTGTTGTACTTGGTATATATTTCCAGGCCAGGCAGAAGGTCTGACACATAATATGTGTTTAATTAATATGACTTTCCTTCCTCTGACCCCTCATCACATTAATCTACTTTTCTCTCAGATTGCTACATCCTCGTTGCAAATAATTTATATCTCCAATGTCTGAAAAGCTTCTGGACAAGTGTCAGGATTTTATATCCTAAGTGCCTAAAAACTTGTAGGCTCCTAATTTACATATCTCAGAGGAATGGAAATAAAGAAGAAAATACTACACTATCTCCTAAGCCAGAATGTGTATGGTTTGGAGGGAAATATATAGCAATGAAAGAACTGTATTTCTTACGTACTGGATTTCTCAGCATCTAACATGATATCAGAGATGCAACAAATACCACACCAAGAGCACATGAATTCTGTGGAAGCAATAAATAGGAGTAATAAGTACTTACATTTCCTGTCAGACAGATCTAAGCCTTCATTTCTTTCTAAAGACTGGAATGAAATAAAGTTTAAATATTATGTTCCCATAATCATTGTTCAGACTACTCTACTCATAATCTACAATGGTGCAGAGTCTCCCCTGCGAATACTTACAATTTTGCTAAAAGTCTCTATTTTTCCTGCTTGGCTTCTCCTCATTCTGTCCTCCTTTTTTTAATTTTTTAATTTTTTTATTTTTCTTTTGTTAGTGTATATAATTCCCAAAATTGTTTAATCTAATCAGTAAAGTAAATCAAGACTGAGGAATTTAAGAGAACAAAAATTACTTTATCAATCTATATTAAAAAATAACCTTGTTGTTTAAAAAATAATCAGTCGGGGTGCCTGGGTGGCTTAGTTGGTTAAGCGTCCAACTCTTGCTTTTGGATCAGGTCATGATATTTCAGTTTCTTGGGTTCCAGCCCCGTGCTGGGCTCTGCACTTGGCAATGTGGAGCCTGCTTGGGATTCTCTCTCTATCTGTCTGTCTCTCTCTCTCTCTCTCTGCTGCTTTCCCACTCATGGTGTTTCTGTCTCTATCAAATTAAATAAATAAACTGAAAAAATAGAGAAAATAATAATGTCTCAATAAAATTTGGAAAGATGTTCACTCTTTAAGGCAGCTTAATATTCTCAGCACATTAAAAATCCTTGAGAGCTTAGGTTTATTTTTCCCCTTTTTAATTGAAGTATAGTTGATATACAAAGTTATATTAGTTTCAAGTGTACGGCACAGTGATTTGACAATTGTCTTGTGTTATACTCTACTCACCATGGTAAGTGTAATCACCATCTGTCACCATACATAAATATTACAATGTTATTGACCATATTCTCTGTAGTTCTATATGTCTTTCACCCATTTTACTCATCCCCTTTTCTGTCCCCTCCCTCACAACCACCAGTTTGCTATTTGTATTTATAATTCTGTTTTTCTTTGTTCATTTATTTTTGCTGTTTAAATTTTACATATAAGTGAAATACTTGTCCTTGTCTGACTTATTTCACTTAACATAATACCCTCTAGGTCCATCCATGTTGTTGTGAAAGACTTCATTTGTTTTTATGGCAGAGTAATATTCCTGTGTGTGTGTGTGTGTGTGTGTGTGTGCGCACGTGCATATGTTTCACATCTTCTTTATCCATTTTGAATTGCCTAAGGAATTTTCATTTCAGAAAACCAGTTTCCACTTTAAAAATATCTGAGGAGGAAGGCCTCATTCTATCCATTCATTCAGTTCCTCAGCTGAATTCCTTCCCATTCCTTGAGACACACAGCCTACGCCACATACAGTTCTTCTTC